AACCATGAAAAAGTTATGCCTTGGTCAAGTTACAGTTGACTTTTCAACTATCCAAAAATAGAAACTTTTGGCATTTTGATGATTTTTGAGCCATGCTTGTGGAATCATGATCAAGAATTGATCAAATGATGATTGTGGCTTCAAAATAAGATGTTGACCAAATTTTTTGACTTTTGACTGTCAAATGACCATTTTACCTCTGCAGTTGATTGTGAGGCAAATGAAGCTTTTGACTGTGCAATTTGATGTTGTGAGTCTTGAAACTTGGCATGTAGATGCTTGACAATGTGTATAGGCCTATGGGACTTGATTGAGCCCTTGAAAACATCAACTTCCTTGCAAGAACCAAGACCCTAATTTTGACTGCCTTAGGAGGTAATTGGACTGTGCAACCCTTGAGAAATCTTGAAGCATTTGAAGATTGATCTTGACAAATCTTGAAGAATATGGGAGGGCAAATTTTGGGGTACAACACAATGCAAGCCAGATGCTGGAAGTCAAGCTGCTATACTTTATACAGGACTATATCTTGTTGCATTAGGAACAAGTGGTATTAAAACGCGTTACCAGCCTTAGGAGCTGATCAATTCGATGATAAAGATCCAAAGGAAGCATCTCAATTATCAAGCTTTTTTAACTGGTTTTTGTTTAGTCTTACAACAGGAGCAATAGTTGGTGTTACTATCATTGTTTGGATTAGTACTAATCAAGGATGGTATTGGAGTTTTACTGTCTGCACTATTGCAGTCTTGTTCTCAATTCTGTCTATTTGCATGGGAAAATCATTATACAGAAATAATACTCCTAAGGGAAGTCCTCTAATTAGAATCATGCAGGTGAATAACTTTTGTCTTTCTTTCTATATGCTTTAAATTGCTATTATATTAATTGGACTTGTTGAACTTTCAGGTGTTTGTGGCAGCTTTCAAAAACAGAAAACTCCAAATTCCAGAAAATGAAGATGAAATGCATGAGATTCATGAAAAAGAAAGAGGAGAAAACCTGATACATGGGTGGATCGGTCGGTTTGTGTTCTACTTTCTATAGGGTTAAAACCTGATACAGGGAGAAGCCATTGAAACAGGGGTTAAAACCTGGATCGGTCGGTTTGTGTTCTGCTAAGTTAGAGACAAACAGAGAGAGGTAGATAGAGAAAGAGAGAAAGAGGGAGAAGGAGAAAGAGATAAATAGAGAGAAGGAGAAATAGAACGACGAAGAACATACTTGATCGCTGGTGGTTCGTGGTGGCCGGCGTGGTGGCATGGTGGTGCTTGAGAATCGTAAACGACGACGGTGGTAGAAGACGGCGTGGTGAAACCCTAGCATCAGAGATTAGAGAGAGTGAGAGACTGTGATACTGAAATGAAATAGAAAATCAGTAACCTAGGCGGTCGGTTTTGGATTTCGATGGACCCAAATAAATTATCCGAAACCGACCGGTACAATCCATATGAATTCATTTCTCGCAAAACCGATTATCCGATAACCCGTTTGACCCGAACCGCTTACTACCGGGCCGCTTGAGTAGGTCAAATTGGACCGGTTTCTTTATTTATGTCCAGCCTTAGTTAATTGTAAGGTGACTTTTCATCTTCCACCTTTATGCATGTATGTGATATTAATATTTGGCGTTAGGTCTAAAGATTTCAAAAATATCATTATTAGTAGAATAATAGTTACAATGTGTATTTACTGATTAAAAAAATAAAAATTGTAACAAATTGTTATGTGATGACACATAAGCTACAATAAATGCCAAAATAATATGGTGAGAGTATTGTTAAAAAAAGTCTATTTTGCTCTTGTGTTGTACCCAAAAATTTGCCCTCCCATTTAGATAAAAATACAAGAAATAATGGGCTAGCGCATTTGGGCTTGACTTGACCCATCATGGAGCCCAATATTTCGTGCAAAGACCAACAAAAAACTGTCCAGGTTCATGCAGCATCAAGAATGGCAAGAATCATCCAGATATGGCAAACTTTCAATATGTTGGATTTTTGTCTCATGGCCTCGAAAGCTTTGCTTCTTGCCATACTTGTTTTTCTCCTAACTATATAAATACAAAACATTGCAAGCAAGAAAGGGCACAAAACTCTACATGCAAAATCTCTCCAAAAGCTCTCTAAAAAAGCTCTCCAAAAACTCTCCAAAAAAATCAAAGAATTGGTGCAAGTCATATCTCAAAGTTCCAAATTCTCTCGATTGAAACCAAGCCTCGAGCCATCCTCTTGAAGTCCCCAGGATTTTTTTACAAGGCCCAAGATCAGTCCATCACAAGCTTAGAACGCCCCCATTTGATAACACCGGTTTGGTAAAGTTTAAAATTTCAAATATTTGATTTTAATCATATTTCATGGCATGCTAACATTTGTTTGAGTTTATATGAATCTATAGATCAGGTATGAGTGGGACCAAATGTGCGCATCATGCACCTCTAATTCCTGACCACCATATTTCATCAGGCTAGATCCAAAGCCTCAAAGGCGCGTCTCCATGATGAACCCCAAGAAGCGTCCCTCACTGAATCTCCAGGCTCCTGGGCCCTATTGCTAATGGGCCTGGAGAATTTTTTGCTATTTCACACCCTCTGATTACTTTTTACAGTGCCTGACCCTTTTCTCTTTTTCTTTTTTTGTTGTTCATTTATTTAATTTTCTTTAAACCTTTTTTTTTTCTTTTTACGAACATAAAAAATCAGAAAATCACAAAAAATAGTAGATTTAAATTTTTATTAATTAAATTAATTTTGACCAATCATTTAATCACCTTTTTTAATTAATTAACTAATTAGAATTAGGTTCTCATAATTTAATAATTTTTCTAAACAAAAATTAAAATTAAAAACAAAAACAAATATTTCTTTTATCACTTAGAAATTTTTCTTAGGGTTTTTCTTCATCCTTTCAATTTTATGTTCTTTCTCCTCCGCGCGTTCATTTATTTATTCACATTATTTTTTACCAATATTATGTAATTGCATATGGATTGTAATAGTTTAACTTAGGACCATTTACATTTCTTTTCTCCGTTTTGGTTTGTAATTCCCCCATCCCAAAGCCTTGTAATAGCGTAGATTCAAAATTTCCGCACTTTATTTTCTGTACTTATTCAATTAACCGTGAGATGAATGCTAATAAGCTTGTATGAAAAGACTAAAAGCAAACGTTAGAAAACCTAACATTTAAAGATAAACATAACTGAAACACAACACACTCGCACACGCACATCTCTAAGGTACCTCCACTTGTTGCCTTCGGAATAAAACAGTCACGACTCTCGAACGTAAGAAATTTTAGTGACGACCATTTGGTTTAAAGATCATAAGTCCCTCGATGACCCTTTCGATGTTGCCTCGGTATATGATCTTAAAACCTTAGGGTAATTACTAAAGTATCTTATGAGTTCTTTCGTGACTGTACAATGACCCTCGCATGTCCCTCAAAACATCCAACGATAGGGCTACCTACTGACTAATAGTAGGATAGCATTATCTAAAAGAAAAGAGTAAAAAAACAAATATTTTGAGTATGTAGATAGCTCCTAGTTGCTTGCTCATAAAAACAAATAAAATGATTTTTCGCACATACACAAACTCTTCTCTAAAATATTTTCAAAGACAAAACACTTTGTATACGTTTTCGCCGAAACGAGAAACATTACAAAGTTCGCCGCACTTAGACATCTTTTTAAAAATATTTTCAAATACACTTATACAAAAAAAAACATTTTTAAAGTGAGCTAGCAACTAAGAGCCTGTAGATAACTACAGATGAAAATGGTGCTAACAGCTTCCCTTTCCATAACCTACCCCCTTATTCAGAAAAAATCTCGAAAGGTCTTTCCTATTCTTTTCACCCTTTCCTTTGTTGGATAAAAGAATAGTCGGTGACGACTCTTACTAACCGCAACATTGCGGTAAAACGCAAAACCAGTAAATGTTAGTTCTCCCACCATATTATACCTTATAATTAGAATAAATATTAATTGAGATTAGAGAGATAATACTTAGATTTTCAAATACTTTGGGCTCTTAGTTTTTTTAGTGTTTTCTTTGGTTTGTTCTTGTACTCATAGTACCTTTCACCCGGTTCTACATGGTTCTTAGATTTTTTTACCATTTTATCATTTATATTCTGCTTAAACTACTAGTATATTAACCCTTCTCTCTCTTTTTTATTTATATATATTATTTCTTTTGCTTCACAGTAATTGTCTTATTTTTATAAAAACATTATTCCAAGAAGACTATCACGTTTAATTTTTAGTGTAATGTTAATCATTTTTTAGTTCTGTTCACTGATTAATTTTTCGCTAATATTTTTTAGTTGTATTCATACAGGTTTTTTTTATTATGACACTTAGTAAAATTCACTTATTTGTATTTCTGAAAGATTTTTGAAAGATAGGATACTCATGTTCAATTATCCTTTTTGCTAATTTTTTGATAAATTAAGTTTTATGTCTTCTCATCTTTTTGTTTTTCTTTTTTTATTCAATAAATTTATTTTTATTAAAAAATAATTAATATATTATATGTATCACTCTTGATTTATTATTTTTTAATTTATATTTATGATAATAGAAGAGAAAAAGAGATATACACTCATAGTGTAAAATAATTTTAGATTGTCAATCAATCACAAATATGTTAAGTGACAAGTGATCTTATTATTTTTAAATAAATAATATAACATGACTAAATAATAAATTTTCATTTGATGATAGTATAAAATTATTTTACAGTAGTTGTGCACTACCTTTTAACTCATAATGGAAACGCAATAATTAACAAGTTTAATTTTATTAAATTATTACTTTCTTTCATCTATTTATAATTTTTCTTTAATTTGGGATTGTATAAGATATTAAGAGCCATACATCCTCTTACATTATTAAAATGAAATTTTACATAAAAACTAAATACACATAAGTATTATTTCATACATTATTTACTTAAATTAAAACCAACATAAAATTAGAATCATACGCCAGCAATTCTAGCCACTGCCACCAAGCTGAGCCTTAAGCTTCTTAATTTGTGCAGCATCAAGGAGAGTAGTCTTTTCAATTATTGGAGTTGGTAAATTATTTTTAAATAATAAATCAAAAAGTAATTGAATGCTAGGGTTTTCGCTACCATAAACAGCATAAACTATAGCATTTCTCGAACCAGTATTAACTATAAAATGCAATAGTCCTGTTGGAAAAACGAAAACATCGTCAGCTTTTAGATTTTTCTCATAAAGGTTTGTAGGTGTCATAAATCCAGCAGTAATTTGACCTTGAGAAACTATTATTAATTCAGATGCATCGGGATGAATATGCATTGGAACCGATCCATTTATATTAATATCTATTTTTGCTGCAGAGATACCGAGTCCGTTGAGGCCGGGTATATCCTTTACAAATGCAGTGTTGAGTACATTAAGACTAGAGGATGCAAAATCATTCGATGTTACATTTGTTTCTGACTTGCATGGATAGCCTGAAGGGGTTTTTGGAAACATGAAGTTGGCTACACAGAAATCATTGGTAGATGTAGCATGGGAGGTATATGAGAGAAGATAAAAAAAGAAAAGAGTAATGTGAATCATCTCCAAGGTGGACATGGAAGGGTAAGTATTCTATAGTGGACCAACTGAAGTGATGGTATAAAATAAAGAGGTTGGTTTGCTATTTATAATGTTAATTTTGTACATGGTGGACATGGGAGGGTAAGTATTCTATAGTGGACCAACTGAGGTGATGGTCCCCCTAAAACCCCCCTATCACCTGGACTCGAATTTCTCGATCTAATTAAAAGCACACAGTTTTTAGGCTATTTTGTATAGAAGCAGTTAACTATTGAACAAGTGGTTCAGATTAACACAGTTATTAAATTATGATAAAGAATGATAGCGACACACACTACTATAAAAAAACATTTTTAACTTTGAATACGAAATATATTTTATCTCGGTTAAAGTAATAAAGTAAACTCTAAATACGAAATATATTTTATCTCGGTTAAAGTAATAAAGTAACGAAGGATGTCATAAAAAATAATCGACTTTAACACCTTAATTTTTAAAATACCGAAGTGTATATAATTGCGCATGGATTCGAACCTAATCATTTACACTTTTATTATTTACAAAACTAGTGCGTCATACATCTCAATTAATAAAAAAACAAAAGAGTAAGATAGATTGTTTACTTAAAATATTAATAAATTAATTTATTTACAAACTACATTGTTTATCCCGAATATTACATTGTTTACACATAATATTAAAAAAAAAAATCTATTTCTTGATATTTTAACAAGATCAAATATTGGATGCCAATATATTCTCAATTGTTTTTTATGCATTTGTTTCTGATATAAATAAAAAGAGGATTAGATAAAAAAGGGTTAGATTAATAAATGATTTTCTGCTCAAATAAATATTTAAGAATACAAACCTTAAATTCAAATAATTTTTTGTTCTTGATGAGATAGTTTCATTACAAATGCTCTTGCAAACTTTAAAGTATATGATGTAGATAGTTTCAAGCGCTTTGTGATGTTTCATTATTTGATAATTTCTCGTGAGTCTCAAGCTTCTTGTTCCATAACACATCATTCTGGGCTTTCCAAATTTGGTACACCGACGTCGCAACTCCTGCAGAGTAAATTTATTTCTTCAACTTTCTTATCTTGGCTTTGACGATCCATCTTACAACCTCCTCCTACTTACTGTTTGTTAAAAGTCATATACCATCTAAGTCAGTCTTTAATTGGATTCCAGCACTTCAAACTATAAACACTTTCAAAGAATAAGTATTCACAAGCTTCATCCTGCATATCACAAAACAAACATAGACTATAATATATAATTCCCATTCTCTTTAGTCTATTTCTTGTTTTTAGTCTATCTTGAATAGATGGCCAAAGAACAAATTTGTGTTTAGGGATATTAAGCCTTGCCCATGTATATTTTGACCGGTATTTTTTTTTTTGTTTCTCCATCCAAGAGCTTGCTTATCTACCTGCTGCGATAGTCACGATTAGTTAAGTCTTGGATATTCATCAGCCTATTTAACATGTCTTTCACTTAAACTATTTTCCTCTAATACCAACTTCCCTGTTATGGGGCCTTGTAGTCTCACCAGTTTTCATCTTTTACATAGATATGGTGTACCCACTTGACCCATAGATTATCTTTTTTTTTTTTGCTATAGCCCCCACATGTTTACCTATAGCAGCAATATTCTAGTTAGCACTGTTTTTGAAGCCCAGACCCCCAACATTCTTTGGTTGGCATATAGAATCCAAGCTACATTCCCAGCATTACAATGAACTGCTTTCCCAGACCATAAATAAGCCCTGTATATAGCTGTTATGTCTTGAATAATACTTTTAGGCATTATGAATATTTGGCTCCAGTAGGAATGTATAGTAAGCAATATTGCATTTATCTGAACCATGCGCCCTACAAAAGACATTGATCCAGAGCTCCTCATTTTAACTCTAGTTGTCATTTTTCTCACAAATAACTAACAATCTTTGGGGGAGATCTTCTTTTAGTTAATGGGGATACCCAAGTAATTGAAGGGCATGTTGCTCTTGCTAAATCCAATCATGTAAACAACTCTTTGAATCTCTCTATCCACCATTCCACGGTAGAAAATGAAGAAATATGAAGAGAATGAGAGTGGACTATTAATTTTCTTTTCTTTATAGAATTTGTTCAACTAACTTGCAATATGATATACAATGTGATTTATATAGGATCACAATATAAAATATAATGCGTTTATAGCAATAACTATGTCTAGGTCCCTAAGGAATAAATTTTCCCACTGCCCAAGGGAATCTAACTTTTGATTTTCCCAAGACTGATTTGAATTTAACTAACAAAACTCCCCCATAAATTCAAATATTCCTTCGATTCATCATGCCTAGTATTTTCTTTCCTTTGTCGAAAAGCTCCTTTGACAGTGGTTTTCTGAGAATGTCTGTTGCTTGATCTTTGCTTGCAACGTGCTTCAGTTCGATGCTTCCATCCTTCACATGTTCTCGAATGAAATGAAATCGAACGTCAATGTGCTTGCTTCATTCGTGGTTGACTGGATTCTTTGCCAGTTCGATTGCAGATCTGTTGTCAACTCGAATCATTATTGCAACTTTCTGTTTTGATTCCATCTTGCTCAGCAGTCTTCTCAGTCATATTACATGGCATACATACCAAGATGCTGCTACATACTCTGCTTCACAGGTCGAAAGAGTTACAATGGGTTACTTCCTTGACAGCCAGGTGAAAGTAGTGTTTACCATGAAGAATACATAGCCTGAAGTGCTCTTTCGATCATCAATGTCACCACACCAGTCGCTATCAGAGTAGCCAGTTAACTTGTATTCTTCTTCTTTCGAATAGAACATTCTAAGTGACACAGTTCCTTGGACATATCGAAAGATTCTCTTCAAAGCTTTCCAGTGTGCAACAACTGGTTCTTCCATGAAGCGACTCATAACTCCAACACTCAACGAGAGATCTGACCTTGTGCATGTGAGGTATCGAAGACTTCCCACCAAGCTTCGAAATTTGTTTGCTTCGACACGCTCTCCCCCATTAAATTTTGAATGCTTTGCTCCTGGCTCCATTGGTGTCGAAATAGGATTGTAGCTATCCATCTTAAATCTTTTCAGGATATCTTTCGCATACTTTTCTTGTGAGATAAAGATTCCTGTTTCTTCCTGTTGAACCTCCAGACCCAGAAAGTATTTCATTAGGCCTAGGTCAGTCCTCTCAAATTCTTTTGCCATTGAGCCTTTGAACTCTTCGACCATCTGATTTTTGTTGTCCAACAAAATCAAATCATCAACATAGAGAGCAACAAGCAGTATTTTCTCTTTTTTCTTTTTCACATACAATGCATGTTCGAAAGGACATTACTGAAATCCATTTTCTTTGAAATATGTGTCAATTCGAGTATTCCATTCTCGTGGTTCCTACTTCAGCCCCTAAAGTGCCTTCTTCAGCTTTAGCACATTTCCTTCATTTTCAATTTTCATGAATCCAGGAGGTTGTTCGATGTAAACTTCTTCTTCAAGCACGCCATTCAGAAAGGTTGACTTGACATCCGCCTGATGTATTTTCCATTTGTATTGAGCAACATGAGATATGAGCAGTCGAATAGTCTCCATTCTCGTAACAGGTGTGAAGACTTCATCATAATCAATTCTCGCTTTCTGCCTGTATCCTTTCGCCACAAGCCGCGCCTTGAATGTTTCGATTTTACCTTGTGCATTTATCTTTTTCTTAAACACCCATTTCACACTAATTGTTTGACTTCTTTTTGGTAACTCGGCAAGTTTTCAAGTATCATTGCGTTTGATGGCCTTAATTTCTTCATTCATAGCATCCTTCCAATTTTTGTTTCTTATTGCTTCTTCGAAGCTGACATCTTCAGTGTCTGCCAATAAACATACAAGATGCATTTCTTCTGTGTTTTCATACAAGTCTTGTAAGCTTCGCAACTTGGGATGTGAGGGTCCTTCTTCATCATCAGAGTCTTCTGGATCTGTCGAAGTGTCTTTCGATATAGCATCTGGTACTTCGACCACAACCTCATTCGAATTGTCCCAGTCCCACTTGCTTCCTTCGTTTACTCGAACATCTCTATTGACTATCACCTTTTTTTTATTGGATCGAAGAGTCTGTAACCTTTCGTTTTTTCATCATACCCAATGAGTATGTATTTCTGACTCTTATCTTCCAGCTTTGTTCTTCTTTGATCAGGCACATGTGCATAAGCCACACTTCTAAACACTTTGAAGTGAGACACAGTTGACTTTCGACCACTCCAAGCTTCTTGAGGGGTTAAATCTCCCAGCTTCGAATGTGGATATCTATTTTGAACGTAGATTACACATTGTACAGCTTCTTCCCAAAACTCCTTCGACATGTTTTTGCTCTTCAGCATTGATCGAACCATGTCAAGGATTGTTCGATTCTTCCTTTCTGCTACACCATTTTGTTGGGGTGAGTAAGCTGCAGTCAGAAATCTTCTTATGCCTTTCTCTTCACAGTACTTCATAAAGGTTGTCGAAGTATATTCCCCACCTCTGTCTGATCGAAGGGATTTGATGTGTTTGTATGTTTCTTTTTCAACCATTATCTTAAACTTCTTGAATACTTCGAAGGCTTCAGACATTTCTTTCAGAAAGTACACCCAAGTTTTCCTTGAAAAATCATCAATGAAGGATATGAAGTACCTATTGCCGCTGAAGGATTCTGGGGTAATTAGTCCACATATGTCTGTGTGGATCAATTCTAGAATTTGTTTGGCCTGATATTCTGCCTTCCTTGGGAATGAAGTTTTCGTCTGTTTGCCAAACACACATTCTTCACAGAATTTTCTTTCGAATTCTACATCTGGCAGTCCATGCACCATATTTTTATTTGCTAACCTCCTTAGTCCAGCCTTATGTAGATGACCAAATCGAAGATGCCACATGGATGCTTGGTCTTAGATATTGACATGTAAACACTTTTCTCGAACGCTTCTCAAATTCAACTTATACATTTGATTCCTCCCCCATTTCGACTTGAGCAACCAGATGTCCTGACTTATCTTTTAAATG